GGTTCCCCTGATGTTGGGTATCCAGCTATAGCATTGTATGACAGGTACACATCAGATATATCTGCTTCATTTTGCTACAAAGACAACAAACAATATATTACGAAGCACATCAGATGCACCAAGTCAAATCTTTCAAAATGAGTATGTGTCTATTGAGCATGAGCAAATGCACATATTAGTCCCACATGTAAGGACCAGTGACTAGTATAKCCAGTCCTGAATGAGTTATTGCTCACCTCTTTGTGCTTATCCTTAGGATCAGGGCTGGGTGTGACTCTTCTCATGTTGTTGCCAGTGTATGCAATAAAGCGCTAAAAAAATGTAGACCATTAATAAATAATTACTCTACTAAAAGTGTGTATTATAGAAATTAAATGTAGTTACCAATTGCCATTCTCCTAACTCTTCATTCCAACATTTATTCTGGTCAATCAATTCCTGTGATGATAAATAAAACTAATAAAGTCCACATTAAAATAAAAATGTTTTAATTGTTTGCTTGTATCATGGATGAATGGATTGACTCATAATTTTATCCGCTGGATTTAGTTATAATTTATGAGTTGGTCAGCATGAGCACTATTAGTCCACCCTATTTATTCTTCACACAGCTTGAGTCTTTGATGCATAGTTTAATAAATGAATMCTAACCTGGAATTCTACTGGTACAAAGCTATCAATAATCATTGACTGACACTGGAGTTCCCTTCTTAATTCTCTAATATTTTCTAGRAGCCCCTCTGTTTCTCTTTGATGCTCCTGCTGTTGATCTGCCATCTTTAAAATAAAACCAAGATTACAAAATAATGAGTAACAAAATGTTTGCAAGATAATCATTCCTTGTTGGGTACATGTAAAACAGTATATCAAAATCTTGGTGTACTATTTGAATAACCTAAACTAAAAAATATAGCAAGAAAATGACACAAAAAAAAGATGGAGAAAAGCTAGTGAAAAAGAAGAGACAAAGAAATCATTATAGGTTTATCAAAAAGTGGCAAACTCTCTAAACCCTAAAAGATGAAAACAGCTGGTAAGTCATAATATTGATAGCTGTTTCTTTTGACACTGACTATCAAATAAACGGTACCTCTGATTTTGCACTCATGAGCATTGTCCAAACTTTTTTCAGCTTCTTTGTTTTACCAGCAGCTTCTTCTTGTAAGCTTGCATACTTTTCTTCAATGTCAATTCTCTCTTGCTGAAAAAAGAAAATTTAAGATTATTTATAACTCTATAAAAGAACACAATGTCATGTTTATCAATTTTAGTTCATAAATACCAGGTAGTAAATGTTAGTACTATTTTATCATACCTCCTTTTCTTCAATCAGTTTTTGCAGCTGTCTTTCACGTGCATGTCGTTCTGCAAGCTCTTTTGCAGAAGCCTCTAAAAGATCTTCTTGCTCTTTAGCTTTCTCCAGCTGAATTTATTAAAATTTACATTTATTTAATATCATGATACTGCATCTTTGTAATCATCAAACTGTTACTAAACTAATAATCACTGATTGAGGAAATATTCACCTACCAAATTGACACCACCAACTATAATCTTTCTTTCTATGGCTTTTAGCTTTTCTTGAAGTTTATTGTGTTCTTCCCTAAATAACATTAAGGTATACACTTATCAATAATGAACTATTCACATTATTGCAATATAGCTTGGAGAGTACCGACGTTACTTTTTTGATTTTGATTACAAATATCTGGCATRCTCAAAGGTTGTAGATGTTGATGTAGTCTATATGACATCTCTAGGGGAGGGAAGGATGAACTGCTTGCTGGCAGGTTRTTGTTTCTCCCTGACTCATCCCCTCCCCTCCCTCTAGAACTGATGCTAGTGCAGATGATTCATTTAACTATGTGGTTAATATTACTGTAAAAAGAATGTCATCATAAACTTACTGAGCATCTAGAATATCCTTCTCTCTTTTCTCTAATTCCTTAGCTGCAATATCTCTCTCTTCTTCTGCCATGTCCTTTTTYTCTTGWAGGGCTTTTCTTTCTGCTTCAAGTTTAGCTTGCATTTCAGCTACTTTTGCTGGTGGGATTGCATGRTTGCTTTTTCTCCTTTCTTTCTTGCGCTTGATCATAACTCCATTCTCTTCCACTTCTTCCTCAGAGGAGCTTTCACCAGAGCCTTCASCTTCTTCTGCCAACTGTGCCTTAAGCTTTTCAAGTTCTTTTTGAAACTCCCTGAGCATAGCATCTTTTGGGTCTTCATTGATCTTGGCCTTGTTCTTGATATTCTTTGCTCTGTTGGCATATCTCAGAGTYCTGATTGTCTCATCAAAATTGTAATCAGCAGGACCAATATTGGCAATCATAACAGTCTTGGAGTTTCCTCCTAATGAGTCTTGAAGAAGTCTTGTTAGCTTGGAGTTCCTGTATGGAATGTGTGTGCTTTTGCCATCCACCAAAGCTGATATAACATTGCCAAGTGTTGACAGAGARAGGTTGATCTTGGTAGCTTCTTTTAGACGCTGTCCCGTTGCTCCTGTCTTGGACTGTCTCTCAGAGCCCTGTTCGAAAAGTTATAACAGTTAAGACTGATTTACACAGTACGATTTGTTGAGCGCGACTTGTAGGGATTTTAAGCAGTGGTTCAAAACCCTACTACAAGTCGTAGGTTGCGTACAACTGGTGTAGACAAGTTGTGACTACAAATCACACGAGATAATCGTGCCATGTAAATCTGACAGCCTTTAAACCACGTAATTATAATATCTAGATGCAACTACATAATGACACTCAGAAGGTGTTTTGATAGCATGACAGTTTTGGCATGGAGCATGTCACTGATGCAGTACACAATTGCTTTATTATTTATCCTAGTTTTCCTTTACCATTCTTTATACATGTATGCAAAATTTAGCTTGACCTATCACATTTAATATACTTACAGCCAGGTCAACCAGGTGTAGTTTTCCCATACGTACATGGTGTTGACCATCAGGTCCTTTCTCACTACATTCAACAGTTATACTGAAGATTGCATGAGAACGTGAGGATCTCTCATTCATGGCTGTGGCTCCAACAGACCCTATACACAATAACATATTATCATGGACAGAGGACCTCCTATACTTGCATCAATATTCACCATGGGTAATAGCTTGTAAGAAATAGATATTAGTTACTGTGCATAGGTTCATTGACCATAAACAAAGTATTGATTACACCAAGGTGTCAAGGAACAATGAGCACAGATCTTTTCTTATATTGCTGTACCRTGACACCTCAGTTCAATGCTTTMTTRGTAGTCATCAAACCTGAGTATGGAATATATTGAATTTGAATGAATTTAGRGAYTTTTATGATGATATTCTTACTGTTTTTGTTGCCCAGTGTCATAGTCTTATCCAAATCATCAGCATTGTTCATCACATACGATGACAAGTCTTTAACATAAACACCAACATCTGGTCTTTCTTTTACCTAAAATATACAACCAAACTATTAATAACTAAGGTAACAGGTACACTAGTAACTTGGAAATAGTCCTCCCACATGACCCTGTAACAGAATGAAGCTCCTGGGACCCAAACAGTACATCACAGTGCACTAAGGAGCCTCTTGATGTTAACTGTCAAACTGAAGATTGCACATGATTGTGGCTCAATATCAACTACTTTCACAGACAGAACGTCTGGATACTGTTTGTTTTGATACCTCTAGTTTTGCTTGCTGGTCTTTGCCTAACAGATCTCTCACATCTTCATTATATATTTCCATGTAAGAGACCCTTACAAGGAATCTGGTAAAGAAAAGTTCAACATACACCAATTCAATACATCCATCAATCTTGATCAATTAACAAATACAAACAATCATATATGAGATAGATATAKTATATGTTACCTTATGTCACCTGCAACCTTTGCAATGTGGCCAAAAATGTGTGCAAATGAGTTTGGGATGATTCCTCGAAGTTCTGGCACAGAACGTACACCCTCCATGGTGAACGTCTTTCCTGTCCCAGTCTGTCCATAAGCAAAAATAGTTCCTGCCGAAAAAAATTGGGTGGACATAGAATTACTTTTAGGATTATACCAGTTCAAGCATAGTTTCCAAAACAAATATATCAAACAATTCAAGAATATTAAACGATCAAAACACAGGACTTGGACCCATTTTTGGAGAAGACCCACGCCCTCTATGGGAGTCAAATGCTTTTAACTAAGGATGTGTAAGGACAAGCAAGGAGTATTCAACAAATTGCCCCATGTGTAATAACGTTTGGAACCATGGTAAAAATTCTAATTCAGTCACCTGTATTCTGGAGAAGGGTACGATCGAGACATTTAAAACATGCTTTGACCTACCATTATAGCCTTCTAGTACAGACTCGATGATAGCTCTAGCTGCATCTGTGTATACATCTACTTGTTTCACCTCAGGTGCAAATACGCGGTCAAACGTGTATCGCTTTGGAGGCTCTCCTGAGCTTCTTGCTCCAGGGTTTTGAACAGTGATAGTGCCTGTTGCTTCGTCGACATTTACACATTTATAACAGCCAGTTTCTTTTTCTTTGTCGTTTAGAGGACGACATCGTACTACTACACGCACATTATCGCTATCTTTTTCATCCTATGTAATGAAATTACACTTAAAGGTTTGGCTTTGGCAGGTTGCTACGCTAAAAACGATTTCAAAAGTTGATATTTCTTACCGATCACACGACTGTCACACAAAAGTCATTAAGATACTTACTGGCATATTGTAAAGAAGATATTTCTCTTTTCTTTAGCATTAATTGACGTTCAAATAGAAGCAAGAACATGAAAATAAAGCGGAATTTCTTTCAGATTTTCGACTTCTGCACTCCGCCATTTTTCCACCGATGGCGTCTTGGTCTCCAAGTAACTGAGTAACCTAGCCTCCAAGAAAATGTCCAGGTAGCCCAAGATCTAAAATCAAATAAAATGTAAAAAAAAATAAATAAGAAATCAATGGCAAAGGGAAAAGACAAGATAAGAATGACAGGAAAAAAGAAGTAGAAGATAAAAAATAAATAAACATGAATAAAGATATAATATATAAATTGGATGGTTGATGATTAGGATTCGATCCTGGTCGACTCCCGGTGTGCATCAAAGAACAGCGCCTTAACGCGGTGCGCCACTGGAATACACTCATTTGCATAATAATAGACCACTTGACACTTTCACCGAATAGACTATCCCAATTTGACATTATACTTTCGATAGTTGCCTAGTTAGTGCAAGGGGTTATCCATCAGTGTCTAGGGGCCGGATAGCTTCTCCCTCACTGGCTTTTTAGTTAGCGCGAAGTTAGGACCAATTATCGGGATAGCATGGAAGAGCCGAAATCTCTAACCGGAATGTAAATCGATTCGACGCCTCAGCTTCACAGAATGTCTCGGGGGAATCGTCCCAACATTTTTGATTTATTGTTACAGGTTCGAGTCCCAACATGGTCGCGTTCTTTCTTTTTTTTTTCACTTTATTTAGTCTTACTGTTTTTCTTTTTCTTGTAAATTATTGCATCATRGATGAGATTCTTTCTATCACCATGATCGTTAAAAGAACTTTTTATACGAATATTTGAAAATTTAAAAACATTTTAATGAGGYCTTCAACTTGCATGTCACGCCCTTAGTGGGAAGATATAGGAMGGAACTACGGTCCACCAACACATATCTGCTGATCCCARAAGTCTGTCTTTAAAAAATAAAAGTAAATCCTGCACGGTGCTATTATGCATTATAGTGTCGATGAGAAAAAGTGTCTTCGACTGGCGCTTGTCCGTAATTCTACTGCACATCACAGGCAACATATCACTATTCTAGAAATCGTATCAAATTGATGATCTCGAAACGAGTGAATAGGCATATGGTTGCAGAGAAGGTTCCATGTCTTGGTGTCATGGTGGGAGCAGGTACAAGGAATAGGCCGAACAAAACCGGAACAATTTTTACTAAAAAACGTACAGAAAGTCCATCTATACTTGTGACATTTCCAGTTACAAAGCTTCTCGCAATTAATATTAGCGGACAAAGGCGCATAGCGTAGGCTTTTTGGCTAGTACGCACTTGTCAAGGACAGCGACACATAGTTTTGGATCTTGGGCTCTAACGAAATAATTTTGAAATAATAACTCTTGGAAATGCGACTTACAGCGTTTTGAGAGACATCGAGGGCATATAAAAGGAACCAATTTTATGTCAATTTTCAGTAATTTTTGTGAAAATTTTAATGTTTCATTGCCACTAGTACGCACGTGCGTATATGCATAAAGGACGCTTCGCGCCCGGGACAACTTCGCTAATGTACACATAGCCTGCGTAGCTGGCTCTTTTAAGAGGGGCCTGGGGAGAAGAGGAAAGAAAAAGGGCCCTCCTTCCTCTCCAAGTGTGCCAACCACTTTCCTTCCTCTCCAAGTGAGCCAGCTACGCAGGCTACTGTACACACATAGCAAGAAACGACTAAAAGAGTCTGTATATAATCATAAACATTTTTAATTTCACTATTTTGCATTCAATATTTATTTATGCTTACAACAACACTGAATTGTTTATAGCTCCTTGTAATAAGAGGAACGTACATTTACTATTCGTGACAATTTMTATTTCCAAATCACGTTTCGGCATAGTCCTGTGTAATACTCTATGAAGCTATTTCAAAAGCTACAGGAAATTCTATCTCGTCCCCAGATCCCTATTTCCTCTGGCTTACGCACGCACCACCGTGGACTGTGGGTCTGGGAACGAGAATGACAAGCACTTCAGTCAGCATTTCAAGCGTGATCACTCATCATAGCCATAGATCTGAGTACACCGATTCCTTGCTCTTCTAGTACACACACTCGTGGAAAACTTAACTTCACGAGTTCTGCGCCAATCTGAAACGATAGATAATAATTACCACAATAAAACTTATACATCAWTAATTTCACAGTATTCGTGACATATTATGATCCATGTTTCCAGATTGCCAGATTGCGTCAGTTTTTGTGAATTCTCCTTTTCGCAACAAATTACAGTGTATGACCGTCTGAAGGTTGGAGTCTAATGGTAGGAAATACTTGTGCTTTGATGAAGGAGTTTATGTCTGGCACGGAAGTAAGAAGTTAATCAAAAAAGCCACTTTTTCGCACCACGCAGATATCATAGCAACAATTCTTCGTTTTCAGGTTACGTCACAGCGGCCATCTTGGAGGAACTTAACACTAGGATTTCTTATTAGTATCTATTGTTCATTCCTCCAACATGGCCGCCGGTCTTTTATCTTTTGAATCTCATCATGGGAATGGGTGAAAACGATCAATTCATTTTAACAGTTCAGTTTGAAGGCTTACCTTTGCAGGGTAGTTGGTCTTAGTTCCCATAACTATAACGATTTTGCCTTTAAAAGTAGCAAGTGTGTTGGAAGCAGTGGACTCGGCCAGAGCGCCATCTTCCAGGAACGCCTGGTTAAATGGGATGTTTACACTTCCTGGTATATGTCCGCGATGGAACCTGATTGGTTAGTTAAGGAATAAATTGACTTATAAATAATGAAGAATTGTCGATCACAAATACTTACTAAACTCATGTCACTCATCCGATCAATCAATCAATCAATCAATCGATCAATCAATCAATTGTTAAAGGACCAATCAACTTAGGAACAAACAGCTGAATAATCTGCCAACATGGGGCAACAAAACAAGCAGCCAGAGAAGATTTATGAGAATGACGAAAAAAGCTAATAAAAAAAGAGCTTGATTACAGTCTTGCAGGATTAGACTTGATTACTAACAAGGATACTCTTCTGGTGCTCGTACATCCATTACMATACCGCGTGGCTTTGCGTTCTTCTTGGGGGACCCTATCGTCCACGATTGAATGTTGTTACCAAGCTCCATTATGTGTACCAAATCTTGTGCTGTAATTCTAGGACAAACTTCTTCTTTGAGGTGTTTCAAGGGCAGGAAATCTTTCTCCTTTATACCAAAAAAAACTTTTATCAGGATAAAAATATGCGACTTAGATGAAGGTATAAGCAAAATGCTGAACTAGCTGCGGACCTAGCTGCAAATGAAGCAGTTCTTATAAAGAAAGTGAATTTCTTAGCATACAATTAAGATGTCCTACCGGCTTTCCTTTCGAGTTTGCAATAGCATACTCGTGCCTTCTTAATGAAGCAGTTCTTGGTGTCCAGGAAAATATCTTCTTGGAATCTCTCACAACGCGGTCGATGTCTATTCCTGGAAAATTCAATGGAAGAAATCGATAAAATGAAATAATTGTATTTGCTTTGTTGTCTTTCTTTTGAAGTATGTTGTATTCTTTTCAGGGGTAAAATTGTCTTTGGCTGCACAGTATATCTCATAGTAATGGTTACATATGTTGTTTATACTATATATATATTTTTGTGTTTATTGTGGATTTAGTTTATTGTAATGAAGTACATGTAATGGGTATTGAAATATGTTAATCTGCATCAATCACGGTCCAGTGTCATACTGCCAGCGTTCTTGTTTTTCTCTTTTTACTGTGCTCGATGTGCCGTTATAGTACCACGTGTCGTTTTCTTTCAAATATCGATTAAGTCCGAAGCTATATTGATCATTTACGAGGGTTTATTGACGTAATCCCATGAGTATATATAAAGGTGACGCAGAGTGTATCTATAAAGGAATATTTACCTGGCATATCAGAAAACAACAAAATACATTCATTGAATCCAAACGACAGTAGCTGATCTCTCAGTTGCTGCAGAATGGCGACCCCGATACAAAGAGGAAAAGACGAGTTTCCAAGTAAGAGTGTGTCCCACAAATGATAGATCTTATGTAAAGGAAAGACATCTACAAAAATACAAGGTGCCAAAAATCATTAAAAAAGGAGTAAAAAAATCACATCGACTAAAACAGCAGTACATAACTACTGGTTATGTACTTCTGCTAAAAATTAGCAATTACTGGGTAAAACTTACGGCAGAACATCGTCAGAAACCATGGAATTGCATACAGCTGAAAAAGAGGAGTAATTGGCATTACATTCAACACATTTATGAAAGGGCCTTTAGTGCGACGGGACTTACCTCTGGAATAAATCCTATGTTTTGCATATGTGAAAACAGTTCCGGGTCATGAAAGGCGATAAGTTGTGAGAAAACAGCAAGATATTCTGTGGAAAAAGAAAAGTACCTATTAACGCATCTTGTATTATCGCCGCAACTCAAACAAGAGATCTTTTCGTTGAATCAGGGAATTGTGAAAATAAATGTGAAATGACTTTGAGTCCAACTAACGAAAGAAACAGATAGGGTAGSAAGTAATAGATACTAGAGCGGAAGGACAGAAAGCTGCAATTCCTTATAAAAAAAGCTTTTATACATTTACCTTGAATAATGGGAGCATTGTCTTTGAGGAAGAAGTTGTACAAGTACTTAGGGACAAATGCCGACATGCATGCATATGCCAAGGCTGAAAAAAATGACAAGATGTTGTTAGAGTACGAATGGAAAACGTAGCACACATAGAACTTGCAATTTGCAAATTAATGTGCATTCCTATTATTCTCATCTATATTCATAAAGGTTTTATTTGTAATTTTCAAGCTGTACTAGTATTGACGTTTCTATACGCAATATAATTATCAGTTCATACTAACTTGTGGTGGTATTATATTGAATTAAGTACCTTCATCATTGAAATGCAGCGATAAGAAAGGAGCACAAAGTGAATCAAGTCCTGAGAAAGATTTCAATCATAAAAACTGTTAGATTCACATATGCTGAAGCTGTCATAATGAAGATTACAATGACTGACCATCATCCTGCCCAGTCCCTTTCACTAAACAGGCAGAACGGTCTGGGGAAAAGGTTGATGGCGTATGGTAATAACTTTAATAGGAATGATGGTGTCATTCGTGTAAAAAAATATTGGACAGCTAATGATTGGAGACTGGTGTCTACAATCTTTGAGTCAAATTTCGGATGATAAGGACAGTAGCAATGATGATGATGATGATGATGATGATGATGATGATGATAATGATAATGATAATGATGATGATCAAATATAGTCAATGATGCTTTATACAACTTTTCAGTAAAATCAGACGTATTGATTGGTTGGCTTTCGTGTGTTATCAAAGTATAGATACACGGATTACGTCAAAACTAATTGTTTGTTGTATAAAACAGATAGATCTCATTTTTCCGTGCGTGTGTACTCTAATAGATACACAGATGAAGTCAAAACGCACGGAAAAATGAGATCTATTTGTTAAATAGGCAATTGTTATTAATTAGATAAATCCAAGGACTATATACCCTGCCAGTATCCCAAGTGAGGGTGAGAAACGACCCAGGCCTTTAAAACTCTTTTAAATTTCTCGTGAGCAGTAGGTGACGATAACAACGGATCGTATTGATGACAACGAGGAATATCAACTTCAATCTAGAAAAACGAACAAACAAACCAAGAAAGCATTAGAATTGTAACATTTGACAAACATTCTCCATTCCATGAAATGTTATGAAACATCAACGTCAAATTGCTCTTAGACCAACCTGTCTATCTGCATTACAAGGCGATTCTTTATCGATATTGTCGTAGTTTCCCTGAGTGTCACCCTAAAACAAGAGAAGGCCGCACTTCAGAACTACTTTGAATGAATTTATTTAGAAATACTACTGTGCGGACAATACATCGTTACATAAATTACTAAAAACAACRGCCATTAATGTTACAAGAAGGTTTTATAAGTCCTACTCACAAATGAAATGCCTGTTAGGAAGGCTGAACTGTATTYGTGGCAACATTAACACGATGATACTAGCAAAAACGTACCTGTACACCSAGCAAACCAGCCCAAATCTTTGCTCTTAGGAAAGGAGGGATGTCAGTACGGGCTTCTCGTACAAGTCTGTCCCTCGTGTAAGGATAACCCTTTAAAATGAACAATGATTTTTAAATGCAACTACAAAAAAATCTTAAAACAAATCCAACMTATCATAAACTTACAAGTAGGAGTCTTTGAAAAAGGACAATTCGATGAAACTATAAATATAAAATGTTTGAATAATACAATTTGTATCAATAAATAAAAAAATAAATAAATCAAAGTTTATTACATCCTTTTGCAGTTAGAACTGAATTACAGGAGTAGGTCGTATTTACAAGAACTTCATAGTAACAAAATTATTAAATCGATCGTATGCAGGCACATTACAGACAGCATCAGATAGTATGGGCAACCTATTTCAGGTACTTTCACATACCTGATAATCCACTGTTCGTTCCCTAATAACCAGCGGCAAATCAGCAATYTCAAGCATAGCTGACCGGGATGCTAGACTGAATACATAAGCAATCAAGGTTACTAAATTTCGAACAGAAAAGTGAATGAAAGAAAACATTACTCACTCGTTTTCTTCGATAAGTGGATAATACGAACTCAAGCCAACGTGTTTCAGCCTCTAAAAGAAAGATTTCTGTTAAAACCAATGTAATGCCTATTTTACCCCAAACAACACACATGAGTACCTCTCTGAGCTGTGAGAGTGATAACGAAATGGTGGTTTCATCAAACAATAGGATTTTGTCCTTCTCGGCTCCCATCTCAACACCAGTGTTAAGAAATARGCTACAAAAAAGTTAATTTCAGATTATGATGGAAACTTGCATCAAACATGACCTGCGTCGGTGTTCCTAAAGAAACAGTTGTGAAAGAAGATAAATTGTACATCGTAAAACTGGACGTTTCGTTACCCCGACGAAGGACWAACCATCGAAACGTCAGTAAGTTGCATCTAGTACTTTTTACATACAATTTTTGTCTTTTTTTCACAACTGTAAGTTTTATATGAACAGTTCCCGAACGCTGTTCGTGCACAGCAAGACCAATACTAAATACAAGATGCTAGCGAGAAGGCTGTCTAACATATATGAATACTCACTTAGGCAGCGATAATATTGGTGCTTTGGTCTTAATTAATCCTTGTTTTTTRAATTCTCCCTCAACATCGCCCCCAGCTAGGCACCATAAGTGATGGACTTCATTCAAAGGTCTGCATTGTTAATGTTAAAACCCTGTTAAAATCTGCAATTGTTGCGCGCGAGTTGACGCTAACAAAAATGAGCTGTGTGAAAAGTAATGCATTGTCAACGAACACGATTGAATGGGAGGCTCTTCATGGTGGTGGACACCGTAATACTTTTTGGTGTTGGAATGACCTCTTGCAACACGTCAGGTACCGGTTGGAAGGTGAGAGATGAAGTGGCAGTTGCTTGCGACTATCTACACTAAAAGCACGACGCATAGCTGTTTTTTTCTTTCTTTAATTACTTTCAACATAGATGAGGATTTGAAAATACAAATGTATGGAAAGCAAAATCTAAAAATTAGAATTTTTGGGACAAAACATGGCAGATTTCTCTTGAAACTGATCACACAATGCATTGCAAATCAAGTAGTGACGTAAAACTTCCAGAAGTCTATTGACCGCTACGCCCTTGATTCTGATCAATGCTTAGTGTTTGATGTGCAAGYAAGGGGGAGCTAGAAGATCCTATTCTGAGATGAAAAACTAAACATTCATCCCAATAACGTTACATAGAAAAAAATGTTTCAGATGTCATTAAAACAATCATATGWTTTTTAGAATATAAGGAAACAAAATCATTTGAGGACACCGCTAAAATAAGCTAAAAAATACACTCAAAATTTGGAAATAAGACTTTCAACTAGAACAACAGTTGAAACGTTGCGCAATTCAGGAAGTTGTGGTTCTGCAGTCACGACGTTTGACTTTTTTGGACCGTTCATCAAGAATTCAGCGGCTTCAGCTTCAAGGCATGCGTGATAGCCTTCTCTGTGGTACGCAGTGAACTGTGTTGCAGTAAACATTTGGTTAGCAGTCGAATGGAAGGGAAATCCATTGAAAGTATCAAATGGCAGCTTCACGTGACAGCACTCACAGCAACATCCTGACAAGAAATCAACTTCTGAAGTGCGCAGCGCTGGTCCTGGTCCCCAGACCGACTCGTCCAAGTCTAGTTTGACATCACCATCAAAATCACTCCATTTGCAATCTTGGAATTGATTCATTCCATCGTCTGGGTGTCTTGGCATTAACATCAAAACCTCTCCTTCGCCAACTGCCTTCCCGATGTTTGGTCCACATTGTTCGTAGTACGTAACTTTAAATCGATAACTCCTCGGTTTATTTCCGGGTGGCTTTTCTACGAACTCTGCTCGAACGTCTTCTAAAATGTCCCGACCGCTGACCCCTGTAAAAGAGCACTGCAGTTTCTGGCGAGCTTGATCCAATGTTCTCAGGAGGTCTGATGCATAATTATCACRATTTTCCACAGCTCCTCCGTTTACTACGACAATGCGCGGCAACCGATGCTTCAGCAAAGCAAGCAGACCAAGGTTTTCAACGTGGCCACCGTCACTCAAGGACATGACCGGGGGAGGGGTAGGTCCTGTATTTGTCACTCCTATYAGTTGCCGTATCAGCCGAACATGATAAATGTTGATAATACACCACCTGAAAAAGTAAAAACAACTTATAAATTAATTCTCTMCTTACAATGTAAGAAACACAGTGAATTAATTATTCGAATCAACAACACAACCATCCACAACGGCATCATTACCTAGCAAATCTTTCAATCAAACCAGGATGTTGTGAACCAGTTGGTATAACAGCAATAAGWATRAAGACAAGTACAAGACAAGCAAATATCATCGTTCCTATAGTTTCCCATACCATTCCAGTCTCGAGGTCATTCTCGAAATAACGAAGGATAGGAATGAATGTCGTTGAAATCCCAAGAAACAACTGAACAATAAGAGGGAAAATCTAAAAGGGATAATACCGTCATTAGCATTCAACCAATTAAATTACGCTGTTGTGTCGTAAAAATATCATATCATCGAGCCTCACACCGAAGGATATTTTAAGTACTCACAAGTTCAAACAATATTTGTTACAATATAGCATTACTCGTAGAAAAGGTCAATTTGAACAGTGCAGGCAATCTTTTAGAAATAAGACACTGTTAGACCTGTTATACTCGTAATATTTGCTTTCCCATGCTACATTTCGGTCTGAGCTTCCATGATGTAACATTTTGGAGTCTGACAACGTTTTTCAATTTGGCGTATGCACCTAAAACATATCACACTGTACAAACTAAATGATAACATAGCTTGTGCAGCATCACCAGCCAACACTGACAGTATGCCTGCAGAATATAAAAAGATGGGCGAGGAAAAKAAAACTTAGAAAGTAAGGAAAGCTATTTTGATTTCTGGTTTAAATCATGACTTAAAAAAAGATATTTCAGTGGGTTCGGTTRGAAATTTTTAGATCGAGTGCATGAACTTAGACAAAGATTTTCCAAAGATTTGGTCATAACTGGGTTCAAAGCAGAATTTTGGCACGAGGGTGTCCTAATTACTCATAAGATGAATTATGGTGCAGTCGAAATTGAGAGCGGTGTTAGGGTGTGTCCAGTCCCTTTGAGGARACACCCTTGATCCTCTCCTGTCGTCAGGCATGTCACACAAACGCTTACCTTCGAACACCAATCCATTGTCAGTTCTGGTTGTGTAACAATACTTGTACCAAGACTCAATCCAAGCAAGATTCTCATTTGACGAAAGGGTTTGTTTGAGCCTTGTATACCTCCAAGTTCATAAGACAGCACAGCTGCAGATGTTGCCATCGCAGTGGACAATTTCAAATCGCGTGGTTTTACGAATCCTTCCGCGTCAAATTCCTTTTCGTCGCTTTGATGATCTAGGCGTTGAATTGCCTTGGGTGATATGGTAAGAACTTCAAAGTCGACCTCACCTTCTGCACCTGTTTTTCTCCAGTTGTTAACAGTTACATTACAAGTGTATTCTGGTTGGGTATCCATTAAATCAGCTAGCGTCAACGGTCTGTTGCTAACATGTTCTTCTGGAGGCGAGAAACAACAAAGCCATCTCAAAATGTCCCTGCAAGTAATACAAGATGTTCTTGCTGAGCTCTCGGGGGAGAAGTATGTCCTTCCAAGTCTGTATCTGTCGAAACAATGTAATCAACAAATTTTGAAATCAAAGCAATATGAAAACATAATTGTGGAACCARTATATCACAATTTCTAACCACATGGCAAATTCTCCAATAAAGTTAAAAGCAGCAGAAGAGCTTTTAAATAGAAGACAATGGCAACACTTCAGCCCTGAGTTGGCTTCCAAATAAATTTGTGAACAAAACCCRCTAACCCKTAACTCCCCTAGCTCTGTAATTGTTACATCAATAACACTTACTTGGAATACTGATGAGATACGTTCAAACGAATCTGAGCTAAAAATGGATGGATCCAAACAAGGACTCCAGATATCCATACAGCGATCCAGAAAGTTTCCGCAGTGTATTRYATACCCCAGACTGTTTCACGAAACACTTTCCACATTACAATGTAGGAGTACAGATACAAAACCAACACTGCCAATACTTTTTCTCTTGCAGAGGGAAATGTAATCAGCATAACAGCTGCGATAGTAAGGAACGGGACGTTGATGAGTAGAGTCCATTGTGGAACCGAGTGCGTGTACGTCTCGATAGCCCACGGAACAAATACCAAACAGAAAATCAAGGCAGATAGGTTACGAAATAGTTGGAAGAAATATTGAGCCTTACGTCGCCATGTTAGAGAGCTCAGGAAATAAAAGGATAAAAATACTGCAAATAAAATCAGTAGAAGTGCGTAGACTTTATCAACTTTGGGGTTCGATATCAAAGAGTTACAATTGGTTGAGTTTGATGAATTGGAGTCTTTATCAAAACAATCGTATGTAGTTCGTAAAATCTCTCCAAAGAAGAAGTCTATGATGTAAGCTGTAGGGATGGAAAACGCAAAAGCATTTATAGAAGTCAAAATTACAGATACTCCAAAGACAATTGCGAAAATTACGAGACCATCGATGATTCCCTTCAAAGGATTCACATAGKAATCGCATAATGCATTGATATGTTTACGAAAGTGTTCAAAGTACTCTTTATGCCAAGCTGGATCATCCTTTTTCCCGTTACGGTATTTCCAGTCCATGTATGAAGCGGCTGTAAACCCACCACCAGACACGCTACTCAAATAGTCGATGGTGACTCTCTTTTGTAGTAATCTTCGTAGAACACCAGAACAGAAGGCTGCTGAACGGACTCCACCGCCAGAAAACGCTACACCAGTTAGATCTGCCTTCGATCTGTCCATGGTTAAGTCGATTGAGAAACCCAAGAAGAATTTATATAATGAAGATTATGAATAAGAAATTGTGGACCCTTTTTAGGACCACAGAAAACATGCTTTACGTAACAGGACCATTTAAGCTTACACTGCCATTCAAATTAGGGTGTTCGCATTAATGACCKATGAAAATTTCCAGATATATAATCCCTTATTAACAAAAACAAAAGGAATGCAATTATATTCCAGGATCAACCTACTGAATTGACATTTGAAAACGCTTTTAAATTTTCAATTGTCGAGAACCTAGGAAAGTATATTCAGTTGGCAAAGATATATATGATATATACCCTGCAGAGAACAGAAGTCCTAGATATATGGGTGCACATAATCACTGTAATTACATGTATGGTTCACGTATGCAATATATGCCCTATTTCGACACGATTATTCGTTTTGTTTWTAGATCACTGATAGAATGTATTGTTAACCATCAAAATGAACAATAAGAACATTCCATGCCTTAATCTTTCATTGGATTAAGAACTTGTACAATGACGAAGAACCAAATGACGTCAGAAATTTTTTTTAACTCTCCTGGTTTCCATTAACAGCCGATCAAGGCTACTTGAACAGATAG